CACACACACACAGCCACACTCACATGCACACACAGTCACACACACACAGCCACACTCACATGCACACACAGGCCTGCACACATCCAGTGTTTCCCTAGCCTGGCTTTCCAGTCTCCATGGAAACTTCCCACACCCTTCCCACCTCTGCACAGAGGGAGCCTCTGACCCTCAGTCCCTGCTCCTGGGTGGACAAAGCCTGCCTGCCTGCCATTGGCTTCTCCACACTCCCAGGGTCCATGAGGACCTGACACCGGGGCACCCCAGACCAGGACCCTCTGGTAAGGAGACAGGACTCTCTGGCTTGTATTTTTCAGGCTGTTTTCCTCTGAGAGGCCCCAGCACCGTGGACGGCCCCGTGGGGGGATCCCTGAGCGTGCAGTGTTGGTATGAGGAGAAACACAAGACTCTCAACAAATACTGGTGCAGACCACCACGGGTTCTCCAATGTAACAAGATTGTGGAGACCAAAGGGCCAGCAGGAAAAATGAACAGCCGAGTGTCCATCAGGGACAGTCCTGAAAACCTCAGCTTCACAGTGACCTTGGAGAATCTCACAGAGGAGGACGCAGGCACATACTGGTGTGGGGTGAATACACCGTGGCTCCAAGACCTTTATGATCCCTATGTCCAGGTTGAGGTGTCCGTGTTCCCAGGTGAGCCCCTCCTTCCCTCAGCGCCTAAACAGGCTCAGATTGGAATTGTTGGGGCAGGAATCAGGTCAGAGACGTGAAGCTGACTGTGTGTGTGTGTGTGTGTGTGTGTGTGTGTGTGAGAGAGAGAGAGAGACAGAGAGAGGTGGGGGCCAGGGGAACACAGTCAGGACGTGACGTCTCTCCTGGAGCAGCCGACATGTCTGCCCGGTATTGAAGAAGGGGAGGGTCCGGTGACAGGGGGCTGAGAGAGCGTTGCCTGTGAAGGAGCCAGGAGCGCACCTGTGGCTCAGCCCCACGGAAGTGCAGCTGCGTGGGGGAAGGGTGGGGCTGCACAGAGAGGCTGGGGGGCCAGATGGGAAGCTGCTGCCCTCAGGGGGAGCCTTAGCACAAGACAGGTCAGATTTGCAGTGTAGACAGACTCCTCTGCAGCAGGGAGGCCTGCAGGAGACCTGGACCCTCATCAGCAGGATGGAAAATCAGGACCATTGGGAGTGGCACCTGCGTCCTGTTCAGAAATGCCCAGTTGGCCCAGGAGGGTCACAGTCCAGGTTGAGGTGTCCGTGTTCCCAGGTGAGCCCCTCCTTTTCTTAGCACCAGGCCTGCCTGAGTCTAGGGCTGGTCATTCTGTCCCTGAGGAAAGAAGTGGAACAGGAGTGTGTGAGCCTGGGGGTCAGTGACTCAGGACACTGTGTGCCGCTGTGTGTGGATGAGTGAGAGTGTGTCTTTGTGTGTGGGTGTCTGCATAGGAGTGTGGTGTGTGTGTGTGTGTGTGTGTGTGTGTGTGCACTTGCATGTGTGTATTGGGAAGGTGGGCACCCACAAAAGCCCCCTGGCCCTGTGGCTGGAGACCTCCCCGCTGTGTGCCCTCCCTCACAGCCTCAGGCCTGAGACTTTCCCGGGTGGGGTCTGTGAGGCCAGCCCTGACTCTGGGGTCCTTGCTATCTCCCTGTATTGACAAGGGCCGGGTCCACACTGAAGGGCGTCCTCTGTCCTGCCTGGGTCTGACTTGCTCTTCCCCATGCGGAATGGGACCCCCCAATCACCGGCTCCCTTCACTCAAGGCTGCCCCTGCCCTGGGGACTGCATGGACGCCGCCCTGTCTGGAGGGTCCTGAGGCCGCAGCCTCACAACCCTGTTCTGGGAGCTCCTGCAGCAGCCACTGGAGGCCACAGGAAGGGGCCCCAGAGCCCTGGGTGGGGTTCCCATGCTCCTGGGAACCGCATCCTGCCCCACAGGCTGACCTGTGTGTCCCCCTTATTCTCTGACACCTTTTACCACAGGAGGGAACCCAGGGAAACCCCAGAAACTGCCGCCTCAGGCAGAGGGACCTGCGGATGGAAATGAGCTCTGAGGCTGGCAGGGACCTGAGGGCCCCTCCCCGTGCCGCAGACCATTCTTCCCTCAAAGCCCTGCTCCTGTCTCACGAGACACAAACCCAGTGGCCTCAGTGTGGTTGCTTTTCCATCGTTTTCTTCTGACAATGTTCCAGGTTCCTCTGAGCGCCTTCTTGTTCTCCATTTCCCAGGGGGGACGTGTCCCTCCTGCACCCTTTGTGCCTTCCCATCTAGGAGTGAGGAACTAAGAGCTACCTGAGGGCACCAGGGGCAGGAGGAAAGGACCCTTATCCAGCTGTCTTCACCGCGGGCCACCGCCCAGGCTCCACCGGGTGTCCCCTCTCCAGATCTTTCTTCCTGGGCATTCCCTCCCCCTAAGAGGATGGTCCAATGGCCTTGTGGGGCTGCGGCGTGGCTGCCATTTGGGGCTGAGTGGACTCAGGTCCCATCGTTCAGGGAGGACCCTGCTGACTTCCTGTCCTCGCTTCCAGCCTCTCTCCCACCACTGCTGTGCCGCAGTCACTCTGGGTCACCCTTCGCAGAATAAACATCACCCCATTCCCCCAGGTCACCCTGTCCTTTCCTGGCTGGGGTGGAACCTGGAGCCCCGTGCCTTTGCCACAGACTCTTCCTTCCCGCTGGTGAGCCGGGCAGCTCTCACATCTGAAACGGCGTCCTGGCTCTGCAGCACCTAGGGATGGGACAAGGAGAGGCCCAGGACCCTGGTCAGGCCTGGGTGTGGCCGTGGGGCATGTTGGACGCAGAGCGTCTGTCCAGCACATCATTGGTGACCTTGTCTGTGAAAATCGGAGCGAGAACAGGTAAGAGTAAGTGGGAGACCCATGTGATGTCATCAAGGCTGACCCGTGTTTCACCCACAGCCTCCAGCCCCCAGAGCTCCATGGGCACCTCAGGTCCTCCCCCGAAGCTACCAGTGCACACCTGGCCCAGCGTGACCAGAAAGGACAGCCCCGAACCCAGCCCACACCCTGGGTAAGGTGCCTGTGCACAGGACTGGGCCTCGAGGGCAGCCTCTCCACTGCGTGTGATGTTTAGGGGACTTGGGCCTCCCTTCCCCCAATCCCTTCTTTGTTCACACCTCCCACACCTAATGTGAAGGTTCTCTGAAGTGTCGGGCTCTTCTTTTGGGATTGAGTCACAGCAGGGAACCACACAGCCACTGTCCTGCCCTCGTGGAAGTTGAGTTCTACTGCGTGAATTCACGCATTGACCAAGTCAGCACAGAGGCTGATGTACAAATACAGCAAAGGGTGATGAATGCTGGGATGAGATGTTTGTCTCTTGGGTTTGGGGAGAGCGTGTGTAGGTGTTGGGGTTGCTATTTCACGGACAATGGTCAGAAGAGGGTTTGAGGATTTGAGGACGTGAGCATGGAGACCTGAAGGGTTGGGGGCTGGGCACTCTGGGGTCTGGAGGAAGAGGGGTCCAGGCAGAGGGAGGAGCGAGGCAAATGTCCTGCGAGGAGCCTTGGGACCTGGCCAGGCTAGGGCAGGGGACAGATGCTCTGGGGTCCAGTGGTCCCGGTCCCCTCCTCTGCCTCCCTCGCAGCCCTGGCCAGAGTTTCATCCTGTTTGACAAGCCCAGTCCTCTGAGGAGCTGAGAGCTGAGCTGTCCATTCATTCATTCCTTCAGCAAGCACTGAAGTTGTAGGGCAGATTATTGGAGACTCAGGATAGGCACCAGGTACTCATTGTGAATGAAACAAATGGTCCCTGCCCTTCTGGAAACGCTGTGTACAGGAGAGTTGACACCAAACAAATAACCCTTTGTGAATTCTGGGACCCCAGCTGGGTAACCCTCCATGGGGAACACCGAGGTAGACACCTGCGTCCTGGACACAGACCCTCCCTGGATCCCTGGCGTGACCTCACGTCCTCTCATAGTCCTGCCCTTCCTGTGTCACAGTCCTCAGGTCAAGGGCAAATCTGAGGCTGAGGGTTAGGGGCCGTGATGCTGAGATGGGATGGACTGTCCAGTGGGGTTGCTTATGTGGTTGGCTGTGGTCACAGGATTGGGACACAAGGGTCAGGGGATGGTGGAAGACACCTGGGCCTCCCCTGGGGAGGTGACTCACTGCCCATCACCATCTCCCCACAGCTCCCTGTTCAGCAACGTCCGCTTCCTGCTCCTGGTCCTCCTGGAGCTGCCCCTGCTCCTGAGCATGCTGGGTGCCATCCTCTGGGTGAACAGACCTCGGAGAAGCTCTAGAAGCAGGCAGAGTTGGCCCGAGGGTGAGAACCAGTAGCATCTGCTGTCCATCAAGGCCCTGCGCTGCGACAGAGCCCTGCTGCGGGACTGGAATGACCTCCTGACCGCTCCCTCCCGGGCTGCTTTCCCCACATCTCCCGGAATCCTCTGTGAGCCTCCTTCAGCCTTTTCCCTGTGCCCGATCCTCATGTGTCACACGTGAACCTGATGGACATGGACACCCTGAGCTGTGACTCCACGTCTCACGTGCACGCCCTGGACAGCTAAGCTCAAGGTGTCAGCAACACATTTGAGTGCCCGTATGCCCTCCCTGCATCCTTCCTTTTTCTCCAGGAGCCTGGCATTGCTTCCTCCACGTTTTTACAGGGAGAGGCAGGTCCAGGACTCCCCTGTACCTTTGCCACCATAATCGCCCACACTCCCTGGGTCCAGGAGTGCAGAATATGAGGCTGCTTCCATTTACTGAGTGTGTCGATTCCATGATGCCTTCAAACTTTAAGAAATGACGATGTGTAGGTTTGGGATGTATCAGGCCTACTAAGTCAGACCTGAGTGAGAAATCCATTGTTCCCTGATCTCCACAGGCCTTTGCTGAGAATAGTGGACCAAGCCCCATGTTAGGCCTCTCAGAATGGGGAGTCCCTGCAGAAAAGGATCCAGGATTTCCCCCAAAGCCTGACCATTCCCTCCTTCAGGTAGACGCATCCTGGCCAGTGTCTCTAGGTCCCTCTGGGAGAGCTGGTAGAAGATTCTCCGTGTGAACTGTGGTAGCATAGCCAGGCCTACCCTTTCTCCTTCTTCAAGGGGACCTGACCTCTCCTTCATTCCAGGGCTGTGGGTTTTAACTGGTGCAAATTTGGAAATGGACTGAGGGCTGTGACTCCTTGATGTGGTAGGTAACTGAGTCTTTTGCTCAGTAGTGTAGACCATGTCTGCCTATACAGATGTAAGAAGATGTTATCATGTGCCCACCATTTCTGTTCCAGGGTCGCCATGATGACCTGGCCAACACCTGTGAGGCAGATGGTTCCCATGAGTCCTCCTGGTCAAGGAGGGCCTCGCCGGGGGTTCTTACCTTTTTTTCCATTCAGCAGATACTTATGGGAGCTTCTGGTGTATCAGACCGTGATACACCAGGCAAGGAACTCCGTTTACATTGAGCCCATATTCCAGGTGGGGGATAGAAATGATAAACACACGCAAAAATACACGAATAAGTTCCAGAGGTAAATGTACAACACAGAGGTGAGAAGAGCCACGGAGTAAAATAAGAGAAGTGGGGTGACTGCTTTGCAGGAGTGGAGGGGTCCGTTATGAAGCCCCTCTAATAGGCGATGAGCAAGCAGGGATCAGGAGAAAGGAGGGGGTGAGCGCCAGGATCCCTGGAGGAGGAGCCCTGAGGCAGAGAGAGCAGCAGGTACACGTGTCCTGCCAGGGGACATCTTAGACTTGGATCTGGAAAACACAAGAGGCAGATCCCTCTCTGGATCCAGTGGTTCCAGGGCCTGCAGATAGCATTCTCTGTCTCCTCCCCAGCCTGAGTCGGATATGGCACACCAGCATCAGACAATTAAGTTTTCTGGAGGCAGGTAAGACTCGAGAGAGCCATGCATGCATTCATTCAACAGGCATTTGTTGGCTTGCCTTTGGCAGACCCTAGGATGACAGCAAGTCACAGCTGTGACCAAGACAAGACACTGCCCTGGTTCTCCATGAGCTACCAGTCCAGATGAAACCCACGAACAGAACAGTGATAAACACAAGAGGGAAATGTGAAACAGGTCATGAGGACCCCTAAAAAGGGAGCCACCATAACCCAGGAAGGTCAAGGAACACGCAGGCAAACCTGTCAGCTGGAGCCAGGCAGAGTGGGAAGTTGAGAGTCTGGACAAAAGCCCGAGTCGGGAGGGCGGCAGCACCGAGGTGAACCTGGAGCCAGGAGGTGGGAGCCACTTGCCGGGCACTGGGGGCTGCCAGGACCTGTGTGCCGAGGCCAGGTCAGGTGGGTGCCATCCTGTGACAGCAGGAGCCATTGGGAGTTGAGCAGCGCCTCCCCAGGGCCACGTGTGTGTGTGTGTCAGGGATCACGCTGCTGATTCTGGGGAGAATGGAATGAGCAGAAGGGGAGACCAGGTCAGGTCCTCATGGCAGGGCTGGCTACTGCCAAGCTCAGTCAAAGCCAGCCATGAACACTGGGCAGGTGGGAGGGCCTCAGATTGCACTGGGCTGGCGACAGTCCCATGATGTGAGTCTGGGGGCATCAGCACCAATGACCCTAGTGCACGCTGTGTCCCTGAGAGTGTAAATGGAGGGACGACAGGGCAGGACGAGGGTGCAGTCACCCCTTCATGGTGTCAGCTCCACCCAGATTCCCCTGTCACTCTCCACTCAGCTTCACGGCTGTGTGCACATACTGGTGCTATTGACTCTGATAGGAAGAAAGGAACAGAAATCTGCAGGAGGGTTGGGAGAGTCAAGGAATATGCTTAAGGCATAAGAATGTGAAGAAGGGGTGATGCCCTTCAGGACAAACAGGAGGCAAACCCTGCACCTGACTAGCCTCCTTGCCCTTTCCAGGGGAAAGACACCCTGAGCCCATCATGTCAGGAGAACCAGCCATGCTAAGTGTGGACAGACCTGGGTCTCCGCCTCCTGGGAAGGCCTGTCCGCCATGTCTGCTCCCTGGGGAGGCACGTGACCATCACAGTGGCCCCAGGACAGACACTAGTAGCCGCTGCTCAACAACCACGAATTTTACACTGATGTTTGCAGCCACAGAGCAGGTGCCAGTTTATCTGTGAAGAGGACAAGACAGGGCTCCTGCCTTTGCGGGAAATGCCATCTGGAGAGGAGCAGGCATCCAACAGATATCCGGGTTATTGATTTCTGCACCTCTGAAGGGTGTGCTCCTGGACACGAAGGGCTTTGGTAGAGATTCTTGTGGATTCAGGTCCTACCAGGTCCCTGAGTGTCCCCTCAGATTGCTGCCATGGCCCTGCCCTGCCTCAGCCCACAGCCCCGAGTCTCAAGGCAATTCTTAGGGTGATAATTAAAGGGCATTGGTCTTATGTGTCTGGCTGCTATGTCCAGGTTAGTTCTTGATTTTTGTGGCCACAGTACTTTGGCACTGGCGATGGGGCAAGGTGGAGGGCACCAGGGCCTCCCCTGTGGAGGTGACTCACTGCCTGTCACTGTGTCCCCACAAGTCCCTGCTCAGCAGCCTCCACATCCTGCTCCTGACCCTCCTGGAGCTGCCCCTGCTCCTAAACATGCTGGGGGCTGTCCTGTGGGTGAACGGGGCTCAGAGGAGCTCGGTGGGGAGGCGGAGTCAGCTGGATTGTGAGAAACAGTAACTCTGATGCCCATCAATACCCTGCCAAGCAACACACTCCCTTTTACGTATGGGAATGGCCTTCTGACCAACAAATCCATGCTTCTATCAGAAGATTTGGAAGCTTTTTTCTCGTGATGTATCAGACACACAAAAGAATACATGCACTTTCAACCAAGAATACTCTTTAACCCGTGTGTGCCCCCGTCCAGTTTAAGTCACAGAACATCATTCATACTCATGAAGCCCCAAACCGCTTTCTGATCTTATGCAATTTCTTTTCTATCCTCCTCTCAGAAAACCACATCCTACATTTTATTTTATTATTATTTTTCATAGAGATGGGTCTTACTATGTTACCCAGGCTGGATTTGAACTCCTGGGCTCCAGCAATGGTCCCGTCTCAGCCTCTGGAGAGCTGGGACTACAGGCATGCACCACAGCACCCGGCTCACATTCTGATTTTTATGTTCATCATCATCTTGTTTTAAGGGATTTGCCTTATACATGCATATGGATTTCCAAAGAGTATGTTGTTTAGCTTTGTTTGTTTTTGAACTTTCTGTGAATAGTATTAGGCATTTTTATTTCTAAGCAATCGGATTTTATCATTCAACTTTTTTTTTTTTTTTTTTGATGGAGTCTCGCTCTTTCACCCAGGTTGGAGTGCAGCGGTTAGATCTCGGCTCACTGCAACCTCTGCCTCCCAGGTTCAAGCGATTCTCCTGCCTCTGCCTCCTGAGTAGCTGGGACTACAGGCATGTGCCACCATACCCGGCTCATTTTTTGTATTTTTAGTAGAGACGGGTTTCACCGTCTCCAGACCTCGTGATCCACCCACCTCGGCCTCCCAAAGTGCTGGGATTACAGGCGTGAGCCACAGTGCCTGGACCATTCAACACTTTATTTTTGAGATTCATCCATGCTGATGTGTTGATGCATTGATGTGTCACTTCTTTGTACTGGTCTACTTTCTGTTGTACGAACATACCACAACTCGCACATCCCTCTTGCTTGAACGGGTGTTTAGCTTGTTTCTTTTCTTTCTCTTTTTTATGCTCTTCTTGTTTTCCTCCTTCTCTTTCTCCATCCTTTCTCTCTCGTCTTCTCCTTCCTCTTCCTCCTCCTCTTCTCCCTCCTCTTTCTCCTCCTCCTATTCTTTTCTGCCTCCTCTTCCTGCCTACTTCTCCTCCTCCTCCTTTTCTTTTTTCTTTTCCTCCTTTTCTTCCTCCTCTTCCTCCTGCTCTTCCTCCCTCTTGGTCTTCCTCCTCCTCCTTTTCTTCCTTCTCCGCTTCTTTTTTTGTTGCCGTTACTTGTAATATTATTGTGAACATATATCCTAATTTTGTCTGTCCAAAAGTGTCTCCTAGAGTAGAGTTCTCAGCAAATAATTGCTAGGTTTTGCTGCATGTGTGTAATCAGCTCTACTAGGCAAATGCAAATTATTTTCCGAAGTAACTACACCAATTTTTGCTCCTCATCAGCAGTGCTCCTGCTTGAATCTTAGACTTTCTAAATTTCTTCAAGTTAATGGGTACGAAATGATAGCTCATTGTTTTAATTTGAATTTATCTGATTACTAATATTAAACTCATTCTCATGTGTTTTTGGGTTATTTTAATTTTCTCTTTTGAGAAAGGCCTCTTCTAATCTTCATCTACTTTCTGTTGTTTGTGTTCTTTTTTTTTTTTTTTTTGGAGACAGAGTCTTGCTCTTTCACCCAGGCTGGAGTGCAGTGGCGTGATCTTGGCTCACTGCAACCTCTGCCTCCTGGGTTCATGCCATTCTCCTACCTCAGCCTCCCAAGTAGTTGGGATTATAGGCGTCCACCACAGCCCGGCTAATTTTTTGTATTTTTAGTAGAGATGGGGTTTCACCATGTTAGCCAGTATGGTCTTGATCTCCTGACCTCGTGATCCAATTGGTAGAAGTTCTTTGCAAGTCTTTTGTTAGTTACCGTGCTCCACATATCCTTTCCTGGTTTATTGGCTTTATGATATCTTTTGAGAAACAGGATTTTCAATTTAATGTACAAATTATTCATTTTCCTTAATGGTTTATACTTTCATCTTGTTTAACCAATTATAGATACTCCCAAATTAAAAAAAAAATTCTCCTATATTTTCTTCTAAAATTTTTTAAATATTCCCTTTCACAGGTAAGTCCTTGACCCATTTCTAAATGATTTTGTTTCTAGGCTGAGATAATAATCCATTTTTCTGTCTTCCATTTGGATAAACATTATCCACATTTCCCCAGCAATCTGCAAAGAAACCCCTGGCATGTATTTATTTCTATATATGCTTGGACCTTTTTCTAACCACTCTATTATGTTGAATTTGCCTAATTGCCTATTTTGGAACCCAGACAACATTGTTTTAATTACTACAGCTGTGTTAAAATGTCTTGTTATCTGGTAAGGCATGTCACTATACATTGTTCTTTGATATCGGGAATGTCTTTGCAAATATTGGTCATTTCCTCTTCTGCAGAAATTTTAGAATTAACCAGTCAATGTTCTAAAAAAGAAAAAAAAAAACTCTGTTGAGACTTTAAATGTAAATGTATAAAATTTATCTTTATGATAATTTCTCCGTGAACATGGCAGTAATTCTAATTATTTATGAGCTTTTAAAATGTCTTTTAATAACATTCTATTTTTTTTTTCACATCTGCAACCGATTTTTTAAAGAAATGGATTTTGAGAGAAAACAACATGGGCAGAAGCATGGAATAGAAAATAATTACAAATGTAGGCTATTCTGCTAATTGTTTTATAACCACAACAAACTAGTACAGAGAATGCCCTGTACAAAACACAACAAAGGTTCAAACATTGAGGTGTTCCCTTAGCAAGGCTGAAAATTTCAGTCTTTGGTATTTGGAATTTAGGCTGCAGTCCTATGAGGACTCATAATTCTAGCACTTTGGGAGGCCAAGGTGGGTGGATCACCTGAAATCAGGAGTTCGAGACCAGCCTGGCCAACATGGTGAAACCCTGTCTCTGCTAAAAATACAAAAATTAGCTACACATGGTAGCGGGTGCCTGTAATTCCAGCAACTTGGGAGGATGAGGCAGGAGAATCACTTGAACCACTGCACTCCAGCCTGGGTGACAAGAGCAAGACTCCATCTCAAAAAAAAAAAAAAAAAGAAAAGAAAAAGAAAAAAGAAAAACGACGTAATTGGGCAAGGCCTCTTTAAGGGAAGGCGCATGCGCGATTGAACTTTATATCTTGCTATTATTATGGCCTGTGCTAAAGAATTTACCCTTAGAAAAATGGTTCTGGTTAACTTCTGGACTTAAAAACCCCCTTACTAATTACCATCTTAATCGGAAACAGAATAAGTGACTTAAAGGAATGTAGGAACCGAATGGCCATTTTCCTGCCGGTGGGACAATACTGAGACTAAAATTTGGCTATGGAAGACATCTTAACTCCTAAATGCTAAAGGCAGAACTTTCAGAAGAGGCCTAGAGCCTGATTTCTTTTCTTCCTTTTTTTTTTTTTTTTTTTTTTTTGAGACAGAGTGTCGCTCTTGTTGCCCAGGCTGGAGTGCAGTGGCATGATCTTGGCTCACTGCAAGCTCCGCCTCCCGGGTTCAAGCGATTCTCCTGCCTCAGCCTCCTGAGTAGCTGGGACTACAGGCACCCGCCACCACGCCCGGCTAATTGTTTGTATTTTTAGTAGAGACGGATGGGGTTTCACTGTTTTAGCCAGGATGGTCTCGATCTCCTGACCTCATGACCTGCCCGCCTCGGCCTCCCAAAGTGCTGGGATTACAGGCGTGAGCCACTGTGCCCGGCCCAGCCTGATTTCTAATCATACAAAAAGAAGCTGCGGTTTGCCATGAAAAAAAATATGCTTTATGTAGAGGATTTCTATTTCTACTAGGTGGCACTGTTGACTTAGAAATACTATGTGCTCAACAGAGACGTGGTAGGGAGAAAGGGGAGAACTCTGTTCCTAGAAGATTGCAACCGCATCTTCCTGATTTTGCCTAACAGGATTACTTTCCTAGGCTGTAAAAATCGCTACACATTTCACACAGAGAAAGTGAAAGAGACCGCAGATAGAGAAGGAAGGAGAGTTTTGTGACAAGATTGAGGATTCTTTGCCAACACCCAGAATGGCCCACCAGAGGCTGGGTCCAGTCCAGGGGCGTTTGATTCATGCCAGGGTGTGCTCTGCCCAGAAATTATTAGTTGCCTTAGAACTTTTCCCAGCCTTGCACAATGGCGAGGTCTTCCTGTGAAAAGAAGCTGATTTGAAACATGGCCAACATTCCCAATGACCCAGGGGTATTGGGGGGTTCTCCGTGTTCTCACCAGCAAGCCTCACATTAGAGTCTTTAGTATGGCAGCCAACACTAAGTGTATGTACCTGGCTGACGGATGCCCACTGACTTATTTTATTTTATTTTATTTTATTTTAAAACAGAGGCTAAGAGTGCCTTGGAATGACAGAACAGATTTTAAGCTCACTCTCATACTTACCACTCCGATGAATGCTGGATTTCCGGCCAATGCACCAAAATGATATGGCTCTGATGACTGGAGGAACACCAGGTTGCTTGGTCTCCTGCTGGTTTTAATAAAACAACATGCACACATATGGAGTGGTTTTAAGGAGTGGAGAATTTAATAGACAAGAAAGAAGGAAGGAAGAGGCTCCCCCTGTACAGAGACTGAAGGAGGCGGGCTCCAAGCTGAAACAGGGAACCTCCAGTGTGGTGCAAAACAGCCAGTTATATGAGGAGGCTGGAGGAGGCGGTACCTGATTTGCATAGGGCCCAGGGGATTGGTTTGACCAGGTATGTCATTCAAGTAGCCCACGAAAAAACTAGCCCTGCTACCCTAGCCTTTTAATATGCAAATACAGGCGCCATGATGTTCTACACACATGGGGATTTGTAGGGGCCGCCATGTTGCCAGGCACACGTGGGGACAAGAAGAAGACTGCAGGAGTCTCCATGTTTGGGTGGACCCAGTTTCTGATGGCCTGTATTTGCATATCAAAGCTTGCCTGCCCAGCTCTAAGAGCCAGGGCTTTTCTGCTAGACAAGAAACATTTATGGAGCTGCTTTAAAAGAAAAAAAAAATCTTCCCAAGGACCCCTTTTCCTCTCTATCTACTTAAAATAATTTCTCAATAACTCCTATAACAACAACAAACATTATGAGCCCAATTAATAGATGCAATAACTGAGGCACAGAGATGTTGATTGCGTTGTCCACAGTCACACAGCTTGTAGGTGGTGCTTGTGGGGTTAGAGCCAGGTCTGTCTGAGCCAACAGTCTGCGTGTTTATGCACTTGGCTGTAACACCTGAACAAATGAATCTTCAGGTGTGTCCAGCATGGCCCATCTGACATCTGAGTTGGGTGTTCCTTGCTGCTGGGACCCGTCACTGTGGTGTAGAACAGTTCTGAAATTGACTCCCAGAGCGTTATACCCCTTGGACCCAAGGCCTGCTAGGCCAGATGCCCCCCTACCCCACCCCTTTTCCCCCTCCCCTCCTGACCCTGCACAGTCCCCTCCCTCCTCTTTTTTACATAGTGACAGTGCTCAATCCCTGTGGCCCAGCCCGGCCTCTTTCATTGAATAATTAAAAGCAGGAACTACCCACTCTATAAAAGGAAGTGAATGATTAAGAAAGTCAAAGGCGGTCTAGATGCACAGAAGGTGCAAGCCTGAGCTCAGGCAGAACTTCCAGAGTGCATCTGGGATCCGCATTTGCCACTGGTTGCAGATCAGGTGGACGAGGAGCCGGGAAGGCAGAGCCATGTGGCTGTCCCCCGCTCTGCTCCTTCTCAGCCTCTCAGGTGAGTGGGGCTGGGGCCTTGGGCCCTTGGTATGACAGGGCCAGGGCAGGAGGCAGAGGGCATTTGTCCTTCCACATCCAGGGAAATGAGAGGTGGCTTTGTGAAGTCATTCAACAAAGGTGCACTGGGGACTGACATTGTGTGCTTCGGGGCCTGAGGACATCAAGAAAAAAGAGGAGGAGAACTGGCCATTAAAGAAGACTCCAAGCTTGAGGCCGTGGCTTACACCTGTAATCCTAACACTTTGGGAGGCCAAGGTGGGAGGATTGCTTGAGTCCAGGCATTTAAGACCAGCTTGGGCAACACAGTGAGACCTCGTCTCTAAAGAAAATGAACAAAAATTAGCTGAGCGTGGTGACACATGCCTGTAGTCCCAGCTACTTGGGAGGCTGAAGCTGGAGGATCCCTTGAGCTCAGGTATTCAATTCTGCAGAGTTTGTGATCGCACCACTGTACTCCAGCCTGCGTGACAGAGTGAGACCTTGTCTCAAAAAAAAAAAAAAAAAGTAAAAGGACTCCAGATGGCTTAGTGGGTGAGACATACACATAAACAATGAGCAATTGCAGGGCACAATAAGGCATTGCTTGGAGGTGTGTGCGGAGGATGAAGCAGTTCTCTCTGGTGACTAGAGAAAGACGAAGCTGTGCACTTGATATGCCTTGTAGAAGGAAGGTCAGACACTCTAGAGTTGGGTGTGTATGTGGCTGTGTGTGTTGGGGGACCTGTGCAGAGAGATGGAGGCTTAGAAAGAATGGTGGATACATGCAGAGGGAGCTATCAGTGTGCAGGACGTCTTGTGGGTGGCGAGTTGGATATGAGATTGGAAACACGAAAGACAAGATTATGAAGGCCTTCCACGCCATGCTCAGGAGCTGAGACTTTCAAAGAAAAAACTTCTCAAGAACCCAGGTGGAAAGTGGGAAGGGCTAGATGATCTTCTCCATGGCAAACCTTGGTGGATACCTAGAGGGCATTAGGGGACAATCCAGAATTTTACACATGGTATACAATATGTGTGGGCCACACAGTTCTCTCCTGGAGCCTAGGGACTGACCATCTGGCACAGATAGAGCAGTCCACAGAGGTACAACAGGAAAGAGCACAGCTGGGGAGTTCTGAGACCCAACTCCAGTCCTGGCTGGACTTCAGCCCTTCGGCCAGTTCAACAGGGCTCTGCTCCAAGCTGACGGCTGCCCTGTCATTTCCATCCCTATTGTTCCTCATACCAACTCTTGACAACACATAGAAGCCTGATTAATAGTTCCAGCCATCATATTCTGTGGTTAGAGAAACCCCCACATATATTTTTAAATGGGCCTAATTACATTGTGAGCCCTTTACAGTTTGAATGACTGAAGCTAGGATTCATGACACTTTGTTCAAGGCAGCAGCATCTCTTTTCTGCTGTTAGTGATTGCTGACAAATCCAATTTATGTTTTTGGGTATATTGTTATTGTTTTTGTTTTTTGTTTTTGAGACGGAGTTTCACTCTGTCGCCCAGGTTGGAGTGCAGTGGCACAATCTTGGCTCACTGCAACCTCTGCCTTCCGGGTTCAAGTGATTCTCCTGCCTCAGCCTCCCAAGAAGCTGGGATTAAGGCACCTGCCACCATGCCTGGCTAATTTTTGTATTTTTAGTAGAGACAGAATTTCGCCATGTTGGCCAGGTTGGTCTCGAACGCCTGACCTCAAATGATCCACCCACCTTGGCCTCTTAAAGTGCTGGGATTACAGGCATGAGCCACCGTGCCTGGCCCCTAAAAGATTTTTAGATGCTCAGGGCAAGTGCAGCTGACGATGAGGAGGAGACAGAGTCAGTACCCAACTCAGGCAGTGGTATGGAGAGGAGAGCAGAGGGAGCTGTTAGTGTGCAGGACAGCTTGGGGGTGGCGAGTTGGATATGAGGTTGGAAACACAAAAGACAAGAGTATGAAGGCCATAATCTTCAGGAGAGGAGAGTTGGGGAGGATGCTGCTGGGACTGGGAAGACCTCTCCAGATGCCACCGCCATGATCTAGGCACAGATGAGGTCCTGACCTGTTGATGAGCTGTCACTGATGGAGCAAACCCCAAATGTCTGGTATTGGACTATATCCAAGTCTTCTTTTAAATTTAAAAGTAAATAATTTTTTGAAGACAATGCCTCACTGTCACCCAAGCTGAAGTGCAGTGGTGGGTGATTGTAACTCACTGCAGCCTTAAACTCTCAGGCTCAAGCGATCCTCCCACCTCAGCCCCCCAAGCAGCTGGGACCACAGGCATGCACCATCACTCCCAGCTAATCTTTTACTTTTGCAGACACAGGGTTTCACCATGTTGCCCGGGTTAGTCTGGAACTCCTGGGCTCAAGTGATCCTCCTGCCTCAGCCTCCCACAGCTTTGCAATTACAGGCATGAGCCACCTTGCCCAGCCTACACACATCCAAGTCCTATTACCACCTTCAAAGTAGAGTGTAGCGTGACTGTCTTATGAATAAGGAAGCAAGACTTGCAGAGGTTAAGCAACTCTGCCAGGGTTTCCCAACTAGTTCAGCATCAAGTCTTTCTGCATTTAAAGCTCACAGTTGCTCTGCTGCCATGCTGTCCTCGGGGCCTGTGATGACAGAGACTGAAAGAAGAAAAAAACCTGAGGAGCATCTCTAGGATAGAGCTAACTAAACTGGCTACCAATCAGCTCTTGGGGCTGAAGGAGAGGACAGCATGAAAGAAGATGCCAAGCTCTTCTGGAAGGCTGGGTGGTGGAGCTGCTGGTTTGAAGAGAATCAAGTTGGTTCTGCTGATTGAATGCTATGTTAATTTCCAGTGGCTGCTGTAACAAATTAACATGAACTCTATGCCTTAGAAATGCACAATTTCATGTGCAGTTGATGCTTCTGAAGACCAGAGCCTGGCATGGTCTTACTGGTTAAAATTGAGGTGCAGGTAGGGTTGGGTTTCTTTAGAGCAGTGGTCCCCAACCTTTTTGGCATCAGGATCTAGTTTCATGGAAGACAATTTTTCCACACCAGGAGTGGGGTGAGGATGGTTTGGGATGATTCAAACACATTGCACTTATTGTATACTTTATATTATCATTATATTGTAATATATAATGAAATAATTATACACTGCACCATAATGTAGCATCTGTGGGAGCCCTGAGCTTGTTTACCTGCAACTAGACTGTCCCATCTGGGAGTAATGGGAGGCAGTGACAGATCATCAGGCATTAGATTCTCATAAAGTATGTAGTCTAGATCCCTCACATGTGCAGTTCACAATAGGGTTCGCACTTCTATAGGACTCTAATGCCGCTGCTAATCTGACGGGAGGCAGAGGACAGGTGGTAATTCGGACAACGGGGAGTGGCTGTAAACACAGATGAAGCTTCACTTGGTTGCCCACTGCTCACCTCCTGCTGTAAGGCTCAGTTCCTAACAGGCCATGGGCTGTTACCCATCTGTGGTCCCGGGGTTGGGAACCCTCTTCTAGAGGCTCTTAGGGGGAATCTGTTTCCCTGCATTTTCCAGCTTCTAGAAGCCATCTGCTTTCCTTGGCCGGTGGCCTCTTCCTCCACTTCAAAGCCAGCAACAGAGCATCTTCCAATCGGACTCTCCCTCAACCCTGTTTCACTTAGAATATCCGTGGAGATTATTCAGGATACTCTTCTTGTCTCAAGGTCCCTAACTTCATCACATCTGCAGAGTCCCTCTGGCCACGTCAGGGGACATATTCACAGGTTCTGTGTATGAGGATGCCAACACCTATGGGGGACATTATTCTACCAACCACAAATGCAAAGTTCAAGAAAACTAAAACAGCTTCAGGGAGAAGGCCCAAGCTGTGAGGACGCGGCACCTGCCTGGGAAATAGACCCGGCTCTCTCCACCCTGCAGAGACCCCCGGCCTGGGCCTGAAGCTCTGAGGCCACGAGACAGTCAAGGGAGGCTACCTTTGTGATTCTCTGCCCCTTTATCCACTTCTGAGTGATCAAGAAACCCGTGTCATTGCCAAGGAAAGAGCCTATCTGCACACAGCCTAACTGGAGTCAATCAGTGGAGGCACAGGCAGCCGTTTGATGATGCTCACCTCTAATCTGCTTAGCTTTCACCAGGCCTTTGTTACTCTGTCACATCCAAAGCCTCACTAGAAAAAAATACCAAAGGAGAGTAGTTCAGGATGGGAGAGGAAGTGCATTCCATTCTGCAACATAGGAATTTGGGGTGGAGACATCCAGCGTGTGTTTGTAAATGGTGGACTTGCTAAGGGGAGTCTGAGCTGCAAATATGGATTTGAGAACCATCAAGAAACAGGTAATCATTAAAGCCATGGAAATAGAGAGACTCCCTCCATGGAGGCTTGTCAGGGGAGACAAGACGAAGGCTGGAGAGGGAACCCTGGGTACCCCCGCAGGGTGCTGGGTCTGGCTCACAGGAGCTGGTTTGGGACACCTTTTCCCAGTTCTGTGTCCAGTGACATCACATGGATTATCTGACATTTGCCACTGTGGGAGTAGTTACACTACGGAATTTGGCAAATATTAAAACCAGAGATTTTTTTCTTTTCTTTTTTTTTTTTTCCTAGACAAGAGTCCCGCTCTGTTGCCCAGGCTGGAGTGCAGTGGTGTGATCTCAGCTCACTGCAACCTCTGCCTCCCGGGTTCAAGCGATTCTCGTGCTTCAGCCTCCCACGTAGCTGAGACTACAGGTGATTGCCAGCACGCTCAGCTAATTTTTGTATTTTCAGTAGAGACCGGGTTTCACCATGTTGGCCATGCTGGTCTGGAACTCCTGACCTCAGGTGATCTGCCCACCTTGGCTTCCCAAAGTGCTGGGATTACAGGTGTGAGCCACCGTGCCCAGCTCCTAAACCAGAGATTTTTTTCTCCCAGAGGGCTGGTAGTTAAATATTTGGCTCCGATGAGAACAGCATTGAGAGGACAAGGAAAGAAGGTGGTAGGAGACCATGGTGTCACATGCTAAGCAGGTCTAGAAGCTGGTGGGAGGCTGGACTGAGGGGGAGATGGGGATGAGGAATTGGGTGTGCTAGAGACACACTCGGGACTCTTAAACACCAAACTGGCTCAGGCAACAGGAGTTGTATCTTGGGATTCTGTTTTGCAGGCTGTTTCTCCATCCGAGGTCCAGTGTCCGTGAGAGGTCCAGAGAAGGGGTCCGTGAAGGTGCAGTGCCACTATAAGCGAGGATGGGAGACCCACGTCAAGTGGTGGTGCCGAGGGGCGCGCTGGGTCTCATGCGAGATCCTCATTCAAACCAGAGGGTCGGAGCAAGAAGAGAAGAAGGACCTTGTGTCCATCAAGGACAGTCATACAGACTGCACATTCACTGTGACCATGGAGGGGCTCAGGCAAAATGACTCAAACATTTACTGGTGTGGGATTCAGAGACTAGGGCCTGACCTTGGGACTCAAGTGCAACTGACTGTTGACCCAGGTAAGAACTTTCTCATCTACACGAGGCCCTGGAGCTCAGGGCTGGGAAAGTCAATGCTCTGACCTGCTCCTCCCCAAGGCTGAAGGGGAATGACGGTGAGCCTAAGAGAGACAGCGAGAGAGAGAGACAGACAGACAGACGGACTGGGAGGGAGGTGAGAGAAACTAAGGGAGAGTGGCGGCCAGCATCGCTCTGCCATCTCAGTCCCTGAGGTCTCTCCAAGGAATCCAGGTGGGGCTTGGGATGGGGGTGAGAATGGGGACTTCAGTTTTGGTGACTGGTGGCCCAGCCCTGCTCATGACATGGCAGAGAGGGAACCTAGAGCGGCCCAGGGAGTCCTAGTGTTGAGTCCCAGTAACTGCACCAACCCAGAGTAGCTCTGGGCATTTTACAGTACCCTCCTTTCTAGGTCCCCAGCCACCTGCTCTGCTACTTTATCTGGCTGTGTAAGATGAGCACGGGGTAAGAAAGTCCCAGGGAGATGCATGGGTGACAGTGGACGCTTTAAAGTGAAAGGATGGCTTCAGTCACGGGCAATGTCAGGGACCTCTCTGGCTGCCCTGGCATCTCCTCCATGCCTTGGACTCCACTGACAGACTCTGGGGTCGTCCTGCTGCTGTTGCTGGAGTCTGGGAAGCAGCCCCCAACCTCCACTTCCACCCACACACCCGTACTCAGTACTTCATCAGCTCAGTGTCCACTTGGATCCATTTGGTGGTGATGTGGAAATAGACAATGCTGGCCCTAGAACAAGCCTGTATACTGTTGGGGTTGGTACCAAAGAGGCACATGGACACAGTGGCTACAGCTGGGTAAAGAGGAGTCCAGAAAGGGTCAAGCAAGACTTCCCCAGGGCTGCCAAGTAGGGGAAGCCCAGAATATCTATGGGGGCAGAGAGGGGATTGAGCAAGACATGCAGGTGGTACAAAGAGACAAAAAGCCATGGCCAGTGTGGCGCTTTAGGGAGAGAGATGTTCTGGAGTGTTGGGTGGGGAACCTACAGGGGTGCCAGCCTGTAAGATGATCAGGGGCTTCATAGGAACTGTTGTGACTGGAGTTACCTGCAGCTTAGACAGGAGCCTACCTAGCGTGGCCCCAGCCTGGGCCTTTTTTGTTTGACTTTGTTTTGTTTTTTGAGACAGGGTTTCTCTCTGTAGCCCAGGCTGGAGTGCAGTGGGGCGACCTTGACTCACTGCAGCCTCAACCTCTTGGGCTCAGTTGATCCTTCCACTTCAGCTTCCTGAGTAGCTGGGACTATAGGGGCACATGACCACGCCTGGTTCATGTTGTATTTTTTTGTAGAGACAGGGTTTCACCATGTTGCCCAGGCTGTTTTCAAACTCCTGGGCTCAAGCAATCTGCCTCCCTTGGTCTTCCAAAGTGCTGGGATTACAGGCGTGAACCACTGCCCCTGACAGCCTGGGACCATTGAGAAGAATTTGCTGGGGCCGAGGACTGAAACAAAAGATCACTGTTGGGTCATGGATACTCAGTGCCGGGCTGGACTCAGGGGCCCCCCCACCAGACTGCCCCCAACAAATTGCCTGTATAGTTGCTCCTAAAAATGTTCCGTTCCTCATAGTCGGTGTTCTCTATTTAACTGGAGTGTGCCCTTTTCTTCATGAGCCTTCTGGAGCCCCCTTTCCCTTTTTCTGGACTACCCCAATTTCTGGACAGCCCATTTTCAGCATCTTATCTCCTTAAGCCCTGCTCAGGCATCACTCCAGAGGAAAAGACCAGAAATTTATTTCCCCATCCAATAGTCCCACTTACAAGATAGGTGGAAAGAAAGTATGAAAAAACCTCTCTCTCTCCCATAATAGACTACAGTGCTTACTCCTATTTATTTTTTAATTTTTCTTGCCACACCTGAAAATGATGGGAAAAAATGTCTGTGTGTTGAGATTGAGGTGACTCAGTAGAAGCACGAGGGGCTGTAGCAGGAGAGAAAAATCCTCCTACTCCAGGGGAAAGGGTCTTCTGGTGAGGGCTGGCAGGGTTGGGTGGCTTTGTGACCCATGCACGAGCTCCTACCTGTGCTAATAACCCATGGCTGACTTTGCCTGTGTCTAGAGGGAGCAGCTTCCGCACCAGCAAGCTCATCTGTCAACAGCAGTATCAGGGTGTCCATCAGCACCCACAAGAGGTGAGTCATGCGGTTCTTTCTCCTGCCCCTACCTGGGGTCCCTCCTAAGGGGAAGCCAAGCCTGAGAACTCCTGCCTGTCACCAAACACCAACACCTGTTCTAGCCAGAGTCGAGGCCCCAAGCCCACCCTCCATCTCTCTCCTGCCCCCGTCACTGCAATCCACCATCTCCCCACTCTAGCTCTCACCAGAAAACCACTCTGCAGAACTCTTCTCAGTGAGCATCATCCGCCCAGTCAATCGGTCAACCTTGTATTGGTGGCCTCATGGGTGCCAGGGGGAGATAAGATACCACCCTCTGTGGTGCAAGACATCAAGGGACACAGAGCAGGAAGGGTGATTTACCAGTCTGGAGCTGGCATTAGTAGGAACAGAGGCAGGAAACACAACCTGTATTTGGTGACCTCTGGTGCTTCTGTTGAATTGAGATGTACTTTGAGCAAAGAGGGTCCCAGAAGGTAACGTTAGAAAGGAAGACGGGCCCCGTGCGAAACCAGCCAAGGTGACTGTTGGAGGAGCCCTTGAGGTTGAGCCAAGGAGGAGGTTTACAGGGATCTTCAGAGTGGGGTTGCCCGGTCCAGGGTCACAGGCTTTGACTGATGGCTCACAGGGTTAGGGGATGGGAGTGACATGGCCTGGGGGTGCCCAGGGCTCTGAGCACTGTGTCCCCTTCCCCAGGAACCACTACATGCTCCTGGTATTTGTGAAGGTGCCCATCTTGCTCATCTTGGTCGGTGCCATCCTCTGGTTGAAGGGGTCTCAGAGGGTCCCCGAGGAGCCAGGGGACCAGCCTATCTACATGAACTTCTCTGAACTTCTGACTAAAGACATGGCCGCTTAGAGAGATGGATCTGCAGAGCCTTCCTGCCTTGGACCACGTTTCCAGAAGAGACTTGGGCTGTGGAAGGAACATCTCTGAGTCCTCGGGTTGTGGCAACTGAGATAGGGGCCCTGGCCTCTGCCCTGGCCTTGGAGCTGGTGGGCACCTCCCTGCCCACCAGGGCCGGGGCCTCTCCCAAGCCACTATCACCTCCTGGGGTGCCAGCACCTGTTCTCTTGGTCAGGAGCTGCAGAGATGGAGCTCAAGCCTGGATGACTGTGTCCCCACTGCTGGAATAACTCTGGCACAGAGCATGGGACCAAAGTACAGAGAGAGGTTGGGGGAGACCCCCCCAGCTCTAGACTTCCATCATCCCAGAGACCAACTCAACACTGTCTTTGCCTTAGAGCCTGATATATCCATTTTTTTAAAATATTTTTTTCTGGCAAAGTTGGTTTTAATAACTTGTGTTCATAAGAAACCTATCTGATCCCACACACAAGGAGAGTGATTCTGGGATGAGTTCCTGATTCTAGGGCATGAGGGGCTGGATGGACCCTTTCCCCAGGGAGGACATGGCTCTGAGTCCACAGGGTTGAGGAGGAACCTCCCCTTCCCACCTCCTCCTCCTCCTGGCTCCCCAAGCTCCCTGCCCACTCCCCCACCTCTGGGGGGCTGCAGCTTGGGAGCCTCCTCAGCGTGACAGCTCAGGTCTCCTCCCCAAAAGAGCCTGTTGGGCCTCAAGAACCACCTCCAGGTGGGGAGGGCAATAACAAAAACCATCGCAGGAAATGGCACCCTCCCTTTTCAGTAATGTTGAAATCATGTTACTCATGAAAACTGTCCTAGGGAAGTGCTGCTGTCTCCGCACATGCCTCACCAACGGCGATGAGGCCCTCAAATGTGGTCACTTTGTGCTGTATAGGTGAGGGACCCTCACACCAAAGGGACCTTCACTTCTTGTGAGGCGAACCAGCCCCATGTGAGACACTCTCCCTCCCCAACCTGCACACGCAAACACACCACACATGTTCAGCATGTTGCCCTTTGAACACCCATGAGGACACCTCCCTCCTGCTCTTGGTTCTAACAGGGAGCTCTGACTGTCAGCAGTGGATAAAGGAGAGGGGGCCCTCTGGTCCCTAGCATGGCAACCGGAGCCTCCCCTTCCCACTGTGACTCTTTAACCCCCTCTTGTTGTCCTTCAGCCAAAGAGAAACTTTCTCTGACTTTCAACTGAATTTAGGGCTCTGGCCAATGATGGGCCTGAAAATTCCATAATGGCCAGAAAGGAGAGTTCGAGCCGGGCTAAGACCCCCTGAGTCATTCTGTGGGGGACCAAGACCCACAGTCCACCACCCCCAGGGCCCTGCTTCCTGGAATGCTTTCCTGGATCCAGCCTCCCAAAGATCCGGCCAGACCCAGGGAGAACCGCACTGCTCCACGAGAGGGAAAACCAAAGCACGATGCTTCGCCAGCTGGACTCAAAGGGGCGAGGGGCCACTGGCGCTTGTCAAGGTGATGTCATTCTTTTCCCACCGGTTCTTCCTGTTGATATTCAATGAATCCCTCAATCTCTCTGGAGCTAGTGTGGCTGGGTTGCTATTCTTGTGGCTCCATCGAGGAGAATCCACCAGAGTACAGTAGGCATCTATTGTCTGTCTGCCCACCCAGCACACACGCCCTTACACCACTACCCACGTACACATTTCTAGGAAATACCCCTTGGGATTCCAATGCAAGCTGACAAGCAAAGCCTGCCTAATACACGCATTCTCTGGGATAGGGAGAAAGACGGAAAGTCAATAAATGAGCCACTAGTGCTGGCATTGCATTTTACAGCAAATGTGTTTCAACTGGGAGCTTGGAGCCAAAGCCCTCATGCCCTTTAATAGCCACAGACCATGAGGATTTGTCATAAACTGATTTTCACCCTTAATGGAACCAAAAGTTAGTGACGTGCTGGGCATGGTGGCTCCTGCCTGTAATCCCAGACCTTTGGCAGGCTGAGGCAGGTGGATCACCTGAGGTCAGGAGTTCAAGCCCAGCCTGGCCAACATGACGAAACTGCTGTGTCTACTAAAAATACAACAATTAGCTGGGTGTGGTGGTGTACACCTGTAGTCCCAACTACTCGGGAGGCTGAGGCAGGAAGATATCTTGAACCCGGGAAGTGGAGGTTGCAGTGAGCCGAGATTGTGCCATTGTGCCATTTGTGTCTGGGCGACAGAGGACACAGCAAAACTCTGTCAAAAAAAAAAAAAAAAAAAAGGTGGGCAGGTATGGCTCTTACTCTTTTAAGAGAAAAGCACAACTTCTCCTTCCCACAGGCTTTTACTTCTGAACAACTGCACAACCACAGAGGAAGTTCAGAGCTGAGGGCAGCTGGCCAGGGGCAGTAAAGAGACAGCAGTGGGAAGGGCCCTCACCAGGGCGGGGGGCATGGGTTCCTTCTTCCCCTTTTTAAAAATTGTGGTAACAAATGAACAAACAAAAAACACCTAACACGAAATCTGCCCTCTTAACAAACTCTTAGGTGTGCAGTACACTATTCTTAATTATATGCACATTGCTCTACAGCAGAGTTCTAGAACTTTTTCACCTTGCATGACTATATCACGCCCATTGAATAGCAACTCCCCCTTTCCACTCCTCCACCAGCCCCTGGCTGCCACTGTTTTACTTTTTGCTTCCATGAGTGTGACTAGTTTAGTTACCTCATGTAAGCAGAACCATGCAGGCTTTAACCTTCTGTGACTGTCTTATTTTAGTTAGCATAATGTCCTCAAGATCCATCCATGCTGTTGAATATGGTAGGATTTCCTTCTTTGTTAAGGCTGAATAAAATTATATTCCATCGTAAGATAAAGAATACGTAGCATATATACATAATGGAATACTGTTTAGACATAAGAAAGAACAAAATTTGACTGGGTGTGGTGGCTCATGCCTGTAATCCCAGCACTTTCGGAGGCCGCGACAGGCGGATCACTAGGTCAAAAGATCGAGACTATCCTGGCCAACATGGTGAAACCCCGTCTCTACTAAAAATACAAAAATTAGCTGGGCATGGTAGTGTGTGCCTGTGGTCCCAGCTACTCGGGAGGCTGAGGCAGGAGAATTGCTTGAATCCGGGAGGTGGAGGTTGCAGTGAGCCAAGATTGTGCCACTGCACTCCAGCCTGGAGACAGAGCAAGACTCCGTTTCAAAAAAAAAAAATTCTATAGCTTGTGGTAACATGGGTGAGCTTGGAGGGCGTTATGTGAATGAAATAAGTCAGGCACGAAAGAGAAATACTGCATGTTCTCAAGTTGATCTCAAGACATAGAAAGTAGAACAAGACATAGAAAGTAGAACAGTGGTTATTAAAGGTGGGGAAGTGTGTTGGGGGTTAGGGGATAACCAGAGATTTATTAACAGATACAAAAGTACAGCTGGATAGGCGGATAGCACTAGAGGGTGTCTATAATTGTCAACAATTTATTGTATATTTTCAAATAACTAGAAGAGTAGATTTTGAATGTTTCCAACACAAAGAAAAGTGAGGTGAGTGATATGTGAATTACCCTTACTTGATCATTACACATTATATGTACATATCAAAATATCACGATGTGCCCCATAAATATGTCTGATTGTGTATCAATTAAAAATAGTAATAATTTTTAAAAATAAAAGAAATAGAAGAATAAACCATGTTCTCAACCTACTTTCAAGCACACTATAAAATATTTTTCTCTCATCTCCTGCTAAAATATGATTCCATTGTGTATTAGCTTGTTTTTATGATGCTGATAAAGACATACCTGAGACATGGCAATTTACAAAAGAAAGAGGTTTATTGCACTTACAGTTCCACATGGCTGGAGAGGTCTTACAATCATGGTGAAAGGCAAGGAGGAGCAAGTCACATCTTACATGGATGGCAGCAGGCAAAGAGAGAGCTTCTGCAGGGAGACTCCCGTTTATAAAACCATCAGATCTCGTGAGACCCATTCACTATCACCAGAACAGCATGGAAAAGCCCCGCCCCCATGATTCAATCATCTCCCACCAGGTTCCTCCGACAACATGTGGGAATTATGGGAGCTACAAGATGAGATTTGAGTGGGGACACAGAGCCAAACCATATTACATTGTATGTACATATCACACTTTCTTTATCCATTCATCCACTGATGGACATTTAGGTTGTTTCCATCTCTTGGTTATTGTGAGTAATGCTGTTTCCAATGAACATGGGCATGCAGATATCACTTTGTGATCCTGTTTTCAGTTCTTCTGGATAAATACCCAGAAGTGAGACTTCTGAATCATTTGATAGTTCTATTTTTAGTTTTTTGAGTAACCTCTATACTATTTTCCATAACAGCAGTTGCACCATTTTACCTCCCCACCAATAATGTACACGGGTTCTAGTATCTCCACATTCTCCCCAGCGTTTGTTGTTTTCTGTTGTTTTATACATTTTGTTTTATACATATATATACACGTTCTCACTAGCATTTGTTGTTTTCTGTTGTTTTATACATGCTGTTTTATACATATATATGCACATTCTCCCCAGCATTTGTTGTTTTCTGTTTTATACATGTTGTTTTATACATATATACACACATTCTCACTAGCATTTGTTGTTTTCTGTTGTTTTATATATGTTGTTTTTATACATATATATGTATATATAGACACATACATACACACACACACAATGACTATTCTAACAAGTATGAAGTGATATCCCATTGTGGCTTTAATTTGGATTTTCCTGATAATGAGTGGTGTTGAGCATCTTTTCATGTATTTATGGCCATTTGTAGATTTCTTTTGGAGAAATGTCAAGTCCTTTGTCCATTTATTCAGGCTTTTTTTTTTGTAGAGTTTTAGGAGTTCTCTCTATAGTTGGGATATAATTATTTATCAGATATGTAATTTGCAAATGTTTTATCCCATTGTGTGAGTTGCCTTTTTATTCTGTTGATATTGTCATTTGGTGCACAAATCTTGAAATTTTAGCCAGGCATGGTGGTTTGCACCTGTAATCCTGGCTACTCAGGAGGAAGAGGTGAGAGGATCACTTGGACTCAGGAGTTCGAGGCTGCGGTGCACCATGATCATGCCTGTAAATAGCCACTGCATTTCAGCCTGGGCAGCATAGCAAGATCCCCATCTCTAAAAAAAAAAAAAAGAGAGAGATATGAGTCAAAAATACGTAATTTAAATTTTCATGAAGTTCTATTTGTCTGTTTTGTTGTTGTTGCCTGTGCCCTCAGCATCATGTCTATGAAATCACTGGCAAATCCAATGCTGTGAAACTTTTGCCTTGTGTTTTCTTCTAAGAGTTTTGTGGTTTTAGGTCTTACATTTAGGTCTTTGATCCATTTGAGTTAATTTTTGTCTGTGGTATTAGGGAA